AGATCATAATATAATTATTTTCTTTTTTAAAAATATGATTCTATTGCGAAACAGAAATTTCTATAATTAAATTTCCAACTTTAGCTTCGGTTTTGGAACATAGACATTTCTGTGTCGCGATGGAATCATATTTTTAAAAGAGAAAATAATTATAACACACACACACACACATATATGTATATATATATATATATATATATATATATATATATATATATATATATAATATAAAAAACAAAAAATCCAAAATTACCTCATATGGGTATAGTCTTTTTCAGACCGACATAAGAAAATGTTCCAAAAGGTATTCAGGGCCGTTGAAGAGTGGCATTGTTATGCCGATCTGAAAGGGTCTGAAAGGGTCTGAAATCTACATGAGCTAATTTTGGATTTTTGCCGTAAAAATATATATATATATATATATTTTGTGATATATATATATATATATATATATATATATATATTAATCAATTCACTCCAAACAATGCCACTAAGATGTATGAGGGCACTGAGAGTGAAAGAGAAAGAACCAGAAACCCAATCCTAAACAGGAAACAAGGGATAAAGTTCTACTCCTGTTCAAAAGAGTTGGAGGAGTGTGAAGCAGACGATAGGTGAATCTATCTATTCCCTCTGAGGAAAGAGAAAAACGAATGTTGAACAATTTCCCTAAGGATGAGGAAAAATTAGAAGCAGCAGAAATGCGATTCTACAGTAGGATACTGAGAATTCCAGGGAAAGAGCGAATAAGCAATAAGGAAATCTTAAAGAAAATGATGACAAAGAACGCTTATGCTCAAAATCTGGAAAAGACATTGGAATTTCTTGGACACATAAGGAGAAAGCGGGGCTTTGAAAACTTAATCATCACATGGCGTATTGAGGTCAAGAGAGATAGGGGAAGGCAGAGGCGCTTACCTGACGAAATTCTGTGAATGGATGGTGGAACGGTTTCGCGGGTTCCTTAGCAAAAGAAGGAAAACTGTTAAGGGCCACAAGAGATAGGAAGTTGTGGAGAGCCATGATCACTGATGTCCTACAGGGCCGCAACGCACAGAAGAAGAATAAAACTTAACCGGTGAGAGATGTCGAAGTATTTTTAATTTCAATATTCAAACGCTTCAGTTTAGTTCATTAATTTCTGAGATCAAAAACACAATGTAGAAATCTGAAAAAACCCAGATAGATGAGGGAAAATCACGAAAAATAACGCGTTAACAAGTGAGGAGTCAGCTAGATAGAAACCACGGTGGTCTGAAGGAACCCGAAGACCAACATTTAAGGGATTGATTCTGGATAATTTCTAAATAGCCAGAAAAACTATCTTGCGGCCTCTGGCTTTCCAGTCAACACTGATCTTCAAAAGTATAAATGTGATATCAATCGTTATGCTCTGTCTGCCTAATTCCTGTTCTTTTATTGTTCTCTCTTTTTAATAATATTTTTGGCCTCTTATTATCTCATATTCAGTAACCCCCTTGGTTCTTTTGGGATGAAATGTTTAAAGAAAAGAGGGGTTTTTGGAAAATTTTATTTTCTGAGATTTTGTTGATAGGTGATTGAATTTCACTATCATGACAATCAGGCTTAAACTAATGAATGCCCAGGAGGCATAACAGGGAGATTTTGAATCTGATGATGAGTTTGATGCAAGAGAAACAGATGGATTTAGTTTAGGTATTGACAGCACTGGCACTAAGCCAAGTTCATTCATTGTTAATGGCAGTACATACTTCCGGTCAATAGACGATCAGGGACCAATGTTAGCCTGAATGTGGCATGATAACAAAATTTACCTGTTATCAACTGTAAAATAAAATAAAATGCCATATAGCCTATTTCCTCATTATTTGTCTTAGAAATTTCGGCTTCTTCTTCCTGATGTTAAGTATAATTGTCCTTTTTGTTTTCATTTCGTCGTTGCTCAAGAGTTCGGTCCATGGTATTCTCAGCATCCTTCCATATATAATCACATTTGAGTCGCTTCAGGTCTCTTCTTCATCAGTGAGGAAATTGTCCAGCATTCACTGCCATATAGGGGGACAGATATTACGTAACAGTTCAGTACTTTTTTCTTTGTTTCTAACAACATTTTACTGTTTCTTAATACTTTGCTTATTCTTTTTAATAACACACACACATATATATATATATATTATCTATATCTCAGACTTTTACTTTCGTCTTGTAAACGATCTATTATAAGTAATTGACTGAACTCTAATTTTTATGCAAATTCATGTTTTTTATTCTGCATTTTCCTTCAAAAGTCTCCATAACATTTTTTTTTACAATAATCTTCACTATGGGCAGGGTGCGATGGATAAATTGTCGTCTAAATTACGCAAAAATGAAAATAACACTGGCATTTCATTTTAACAGATATATTTATCAAAATGACACAAAAATATCTTGAAATACAAAAGAGAAAATTTATTCAATAAAATCTCTATTGGTTTCAATCACTGCCTTCAGACGAATCCGAATTCTCCTGCAACTCTTCTCGACGGCGTCCTTGTTTAAGTTGATGAATGCTGCCATAATGCTTGCCTTCAGTTCATCTTTATCTAATTATAATTATTATTATCATATTTCTCTGTTTATGCATTTCTCGGTCAACACGACCACACAGCCTGGAGCCTATGGTCACTCTAAACTAGTAATTAATCTTTCTTTATCAACTTGTCTCAAAAATAATGTCCACAATAAAAAATTTTCCGATTTTCCAGAAATTTAAATGAAAGAACCTGTCCGCAATCGTAGGCGCTTATCTTTATTTTTCTAGAGATATTTTTCTTATGTGTGGCCGAAACAAGCCAGGTATTTTTCTGGCTCTTTGTCCAGAACAATTTAAATGTTATGTAGGTGACCACCCGTTTTCTTTACAGATAACATATTTTTTTCTATTTTCCAGATTTTTACAGATTTCTTAGATTATCAGAAATTAATAAAAGGCTCTTCGTTTGAATATTAAACAATATTGAAAACAATATATTCATCTTTGGTGTTACAAGAAGTTTTGTTGGTCTCCTGCTCAACTGCGCCCCATACATAATAATCAAGGGGGTTGCAATCTAGGGAGTTCGATGTGAGATGTGGTCCTTTGTCTGACAGCCATGACTGGATTCTTCTGCTTGTGCCATGGTGAAGATATCAGGTCTTTCAAGCCAGCCTACCCAGGGCAGAACTACTTTTCAAGGCACTTAATATCGGTCTTCGTGTTGAGTCTGATTTCCTCATAAAATTCAGGGGGTCCTTTTTATCAGAACAATGAAAGTGAAAATTCCAAGCTGCCATACCTTCGTAATCAACAATTAGACTCATCCAGCTAAACCCCTGAACAGTCCTCAGTTTGACACCCAAGCACTTGAAATGTTCGTATTGAGCTTCCAACGAATGCCATGCAGTTAGCATTCTTTAAATTTAGAGTTATTTTATCATGGTGCTTTTTTTATCACAGGCAGTACCTGCCTGTTATGGTCCGGTTTCGTTCCACGGTGATAGCCCATTAGAACCAATAAAGAAGAACTCGAACATGGATATGGAATAACAAATATATTACAAACAGAAATATATAGAGAGAAGTAGAAAGGTTAGTACGAACAATCAGGTTTAGTAGTACTTGTCTGAACGCGATTCTGTTTCGGACTGTGGAACTCGACTGACTGACTCATCGCTCTGACTGACCAGACTCCTGACGGACCTCACCCAGACTTCAGAACGAACTTTCTGCTTAACAGGCGCAGTATTTATTACGTATGGAACAGTCCATTATGTCATTATGGGTAAGGTCCCATAACACTAACTGGCCCTACTTTGCTGTGCAGTCGACAAAATAAAAAACAAACAGCACACTTGCGCAAAATTAAAAATATAAAATTGTTAACCATGTTCACCATAGTCTATGAATATAGAATACAGCTCAGTACGTAATCTGTTCAATAAAACAACGTTAAAGATTAATACTGTCGAGTCAGATATTTTACTGAATCTGACTATATCGCCAATACCACCAGCAGCTGTTCCGTAATTTTTCAGTCTTCGATATCAAAGGCTGGCAGTGAATATTCGGCAAAAACATTGCCTTTTTATACACATTGCATTGAATATTTTGAGCCTTCTGATTGGTTAACCCTTCTATTGGTGAATTATAAAATGAGTCAGCTCATTTTGGCTGGCTCACTAGTGCACCAGGATACCCAAAAATTCCAACAAAAATGTCGACAATTTACCCATCGCACCCTGTACAAGGCCCAAGAGTCACTCAAAGTAGAGGATTACAGAGTATGATTTAATAGGCACAGTTTATGAGGATATGTGGGGAAGATAAAGTTATGTCCTAGAGTTGAACAGGTTAAGATTGTAATGATTGAGGAAGTATCCCCCGCTTCCAAAAAGTAGCGGTTCGTGGGAAGAAGCTGTTCAAGGGAACTTATTCTCAATAATGGAATACAAGGGGATTGGGTTCGATGCAAATGGCGGATTTAAAGCCTGAACTGGTGAAAGGGGCGTTCGTTTGAACACTTTCCATGAAAAATAGCAATAGAATCAGGCGAAACGTTTCGCCTGTGGAAATTTTCTGACCACGTAGACATTTTTGATCGAGACTTGAAATTGAAAACTGGACAGCTCCTGTCCCTCTAGTACAGCTGTTTTCGGTCGGATCTGGCTCTTGTAAAGGTAGAGAATAGTAGGAAGAGTTTAGTACAGGGATTTGACCAGCATTTTTAGTGATGGATCGTATATACAAATTTCATTTGAGGTCTGGGTCTAAGTAATATTACCAGCAATAAAAATCTTGTCAGCATTAAATAACCCATTGAGGTTGATATGCCGTAAAACAAACCAAACCAAACCAATATATATATATTGAGATAACTAGATAGATAGATAAATGTGAATGAGACTGGAATAGATAGATAGATAAAAATTATTACCAGCAATAAAAATCTTGTCGGCATTAAATAACCCATTGAAGTTGATATGCCGTAAAACTAAACCAATATATATTGAGATAGATAGATAGATAGATAGATAGATAGATAGATAGATAGATAGATGTGAATGAGACTGGAATAGATAGGTAAAAATTATTACCAGCAATAAAAATCTTGTCGGCATTAAATAACTCATTGAAGTTGATATGCCGTAAAACAAAACAAACCAAACCAATATATATTGAAATAGATAGATAAAAATTATTACCAGCAATAAAAATCTTATCGGCATGAAATAACCCGTTGAGGTTGATATGCCGTAAAACAAAACAAAACAAACCAAACCAAACCGGAACATTTCTGCGAAGTAAAAATCTCTTGGCCTTTTGTAGGCACTCAGCACTTGGTCTTAACTCTATAAATAAACCACTTCCTTCACGTTCTACGCCATACTGAATTCTGTTGCATTTTATCTCAGATTGAATATGAGCATTTTTAGTCAGCCCTGATTTTCCGTAAAATCATGTAAAATAAACATTTCTCTGCAAACGGCTTCCGGGGAACTTCTAAGATTTCCCTAACATTGTATTAAAGAAGGCATATGGAATTTAAAATATGAACCGGTAAGTGATTAGAAGAAAACTGACATTATTAAAAGCGACTAAACAGAACTGCAGAGTAATTGTTACAGAAAGACTTTGTGATAATTTTTTACAATCATGTGTTGTTATGCGTCAACCTCAAAAAGCAGCATTTAAAGTTTTATTTTTTTCTGACTGAATTAAATTATGATTAGCTGGCTCAGTGAATAAACGCGTTGGTTGAAGTAAATCCTTGATTTGGTCCAAAGAGTTGTGTGTTCAATACCTGGCCACAGAAGAGATGAACAAAAACTTGGAAAGTTGAGTTATTAAAAGGAAATAACCGAGATTGACATATCAAGAAAAGCGTGGGACTAAAACAATCTATCCTAGTTGACGAAATAAAAGGTTCGGTTCGAAATTCCAACGTATGTCATCTGAAGAAGGCCGGAGCGTAGAACGACCGAAACGTCGTGAATATGTCAATAACGATGAGAACAACAGTCCGAACAATGTAAATAACTATTTTTTATACCAAAGTTCTTCTAATAGAAGGCTCGACAGCCCTCAAGATAGAGAGTCACTGTAAAACTTGTTATGATGAATAAGGAGTAAAATGAATAAAAGAGGGGGTGTTAGGATGTGAATATTATGAGAATAAGGCTGTGGGGAGATAACGATTGACCTTTGACTTCAAGAGCTTTCGGCGTTTAGGAAAGCATGCAGACTGTTGACTTTTTCACAAAATGGCGGTTCTTGGGAAAAATCTGACTGAGCTGAACTTTTTATTACTTTTGGAATGTCACGCGCAAGGACATGAATTAGGAGAGCCGTGCGAGAACACCCTATAGTAGTAACGGTTTACTAAAGTAAACCAACTAAGAACTACTCTACAGCGTGGCCTTCTAAAATCTGTCTCGTTCTCTGTGTTCTGAACCTTCTGGAAATGGGCAATCATGACTTTCCGCAAGTTTCTATTTTTGTTTTCTTTCCTTCTGAACTAAGTTATTCGTATTTAAACAAACTAATTCAGAAGACACCTAGACGATGTTTCACCATTCTTGTTTCGCAATACACAGCGCTTAACAATACTGCTCGACAATTTCTCTAATATAATACTTTGATTTCAATATTTACTATGCTGCGTTTCATCTGGCACAAGACCCAACATGTACTATCATTATAGATAGGTTCGCATGTCGTCCGGTTCACACTCCTTCCCGGTATTTTGAACAGATGCAGAGGTTTATCCCTTGCTCCCTATTTGGGATTGGTGTTATAGAATGCAAAGACCAGGGCCAGGATGGTCAGCGATTGGTTAGAATACCTCGTGGTCGTGGTATTCTGACAGTGAGGGATTGTCTGGGTTTTGCATATAAGTCCAAAACGGCGCGAAAGTCAACAAAGAGGCGCAGGAATTTTTTGAAGTGTCGATACGCTTTGCACATCTACGTTCGAGAGACAGGCTAAGACCACACGCGGAAGGAAGCTAAAGCAACGGGTGGCATGCGTTCTCTTGAAATCCTTCCTCCCTGAGCCTCTTAGAATCCAAGCTGCTGTTTTATACCCACCCCTTCTTCTCGGAGGTCTTTTGGTTGAAGGGGTCGAATTCGCGGTCGAGTCCACAACAAAGCTGCAATCTTCTCTCTCGGTCGTCTTCTCCCGGACGTGTGCCGAAATGTTTCTGGGTTCGGAGATAAAATGAGAACTTTAACAAAAGGGATTTGTAAACTTATCTATTTTATTAAACACGTCGACGTGTACATTTTTAACTAGCCAGTGGGGTCGCTCTATCACCACCACTGGGGAACAGTTTCCATATACGAAAATAACACGTCTATATTCTTCGACGTATAAAACTTAACTCATTGAAATCACTTTCTATTTCTCTAACATTCCCACGTTCGGCTCAGCTACTTAAAATCGACATCCCTATTTTGTCTACCATCTGACCTTAAAGTTCAGCCTCAGAAGGTCTGAGCCAAAATATACTGAAAATCGTCTTTTTGTTAATACTATCTAATACCTTCTAAAGCCATCTCATTCTCTTTCACTCCCAGTAGCTTCTTGTGACTTAGTGGTGTTATCGCTTGGCTTGGTATGAACTCATAAAAAAAGAAGATCGCCATTTATAGGCAAAATTATGTATGGGTGGTGTAATGGATAGATCTTCGGAATGAGAAATCAGAGACCCGAGTTCGAATTCCAGTCACGTTCATTGCATTCAATGACGAGCAAATACCCTTGGGAAAGGTATGAATTCATCTCCTGTCCCGTCCAGCTGTGGGTAAAATAGTAAGACTTGTATCTGGAAAAATCATTGTTATTTTTAAACATTTTTAAAACAACATTCATTTGCAAAAAAAAAAAAGAAAAAAAAAAAGAATTATTCTTACGAAAATATGTTTAGGCTTTAAATAATCACAAAAGGTTGGTAAACCGTAAAAAAACGAAACGAACCAAAACAAATGACTCATGGTTGGCAAAAACAAATGCACTATAAAAATCTCATAACACTTTGTAATATCTTGTTTAGGACTGCCAGACCCCTGAACGGAAGTTTTCAATTGGCCATTTTTTTTGTTTTCTCTCTAGAATACCCAAAATGACATTTAAAAAAAGGAAAGAGAATAACAAAATATTTCTTCAATTGGTTTCCGCAGCAAGCAGAAGAAAGAAGTGGTCACTTCATTGTTTTTAACCATTAAGTCCTTAAACCAGTAGCTTTAGAGCGGTCAACATGTTTTTGTAGTCAAGTAGATCTTACAATGTTGCAGGTGCAAGTGCTATTGCTGCACGTTAACAAAACCCCCTCCAAATACCTGTAAATATTATTTAAAATTTGCTCTGTTCATGAAGGTTTACGGCTATATCACGTTGAAACACCGGTTCACGTACGATCACCGGAGTTAAGTAACATCGACGCTGGTCAGCATCTAGATCAGTGACCACTTGGGAATACCAGATACTGTAAGTTTCGATGTGCTGGTAGTATAATAAATAATGTCTCACACTTGTTAATCGGAGAACCGAGTTCCAATTCCCGTTGTGTTTACTTACGAGCAAATAACCTTTAGGAAGCTATGAATTTATAACTGAATGTATATGCTTGTAAAGCTCCGTAAATTTCAAGATTATTTATTCGAAAATTCGCTTGAGGATGAAAGAGAGCTGGTTACTTTAATTCAATTTAATTTTTATAATTCAAGTGAAGTTTTTATCTTCTGTTTCTGAAACATGAAAACTCTTATGTAGCGATGGAATCATATTTAAAAAAAATAATTATAATGTAGGGTCTACTTATATATTGAGCACTGTTTTTTTAAAAATAAAACAAAAATACTAAAGAATTTCAGATTATTAATCTAACGGTTCTTTCCTATTTTTCTATATATTTGCACACACACACACGCGCGCACACACACAAACACACACACACATATATATATATATATATATATAGTCTAAAAACAAGGTCAGTTGAATCCGCTACCTTGGTTCGAACCTTACGGTATCCTCATATATATATATATATATATATATATATATATATATATATATATATACATGGTTTAGACTGACATGTAGTTAGCAAAAATTTTATCTGAAACTTTCACTGCGCGATGTTTAATTCACCCTTATTAATTAATATTCACCACTGAATTAAGTGCATTGACAAAGAAAATGGTATTAAAAATATTTCTTTGCACACACTTACACACACACACACACACACACATATATATATATATATATATATATATATATATATATATATATATTGTTATCATGCCACATTCAGGCTAACATTGGTCCCTGATCGTCTATTGACCGGAACTTGGCCCCTGCCAGTGCTGTCAACACCGAAACTAAACCCATCTGTTTCTCTTGCATCAAACATGCATCAATGAAAAATTGCTGCCTAAATACACGCACACACACACACACACACACACACACACACACACACACACACATATATATATATATATATATATATATATATATATATAATACTGTCGTTTTGAAATTAACTACTTTAGCACTTCCTGCTAGAACAACTGTATCTGTGATCTTCAAAAGTAGAGTTTTTTTGTAAGGTTATGAAGTGATCGTCTGCTGGAAGTGCGAATTAAACATCGTTCAATCTTCTGATATTTTTCAGGCAATTATTTGCCCCTCTTAAGAAACAAAAACAGACAAAAAACCAGTACAAAAAATTTTTACAAAACCATGGATATAAAACGGAAATTGAGACAATCAGTCATTGTTTTAATTTAATACAAATTTAAAACATATTAAAAAAACTAAAGAAATTTCTTAATTTTTAAGTGGCCGTTCTTTTCCACGATTAGAAAAAAAATATCGGACGGTTTTTCGCAAATTATTTCCTTAATAAACTGCACGCCCACTCAAGTTTTATACGCTTCAATTAAGTTTCGTATTCAAATTAAATTTCGTATTCCAATTAAGTTTCGTAACTAAAGTAAATTTCGTTAAAATAAAGAAAAAAAAGGTGCTGAAATGCTGTGTAATATTAAACTTCCTCTAT